CCACTCAAGATCAGATGGCTGGCCAGAAAACATCAGCAATATGAATCTCTGGCAATGAACCAACGAACCAAGAACCAGTTGTGCAACAAATATGTGGGAAGAAATGGAGGTGGATTGGCTGGCCATACTCTGAGAAAACAACCCATCAAGTGAGTGACATCACACATCAGGTTACTGGTTGAGTGCAATTCCAATGGAGTGGGAAGTGGCGAGTTGGTTGCCAGTGTTGGGGTGACATGGAGAAGGTGATGTGAGGAGGAGATGAAAGCATGTGGATAGACGTGGAGCCTGGTGAAAACACTGGTGGAGGACCAAACGCAATGGAGACGTGCTGCTGTAACCCTTTGTTCCTCCGAGAACTAAAGGAGACAATCATACAATGATAATAATGAAGTTAAGACCAGTAATTATTACTGCACAACACTGTGTGATCTATCAAAATAAAGTCGTATCCATAATGAAGTTATACTTCACCGCAGTGCCCAAGTCTTATACTTGTACCAATACCGACTGTCTAATGCCAGATATTCTTAACCTTATAAAGTAGAATGATAGACGAAGTACCTCTCTAGAAATTAACACGATTGAGAAAACAGCAGGAAAGTTTAGAGGAAGCGCATAATCCAAGCTATGTAACATTCATCTTGGTTTTAACCCCAGTGCTGCAAATAGTAGAAGAATCACAGGAACAAACCAATTCGCGTAAATCATGTCTGTGTCTCAAAGTGAAATGGACATCACAATGTTTACATGAATCAAGCTTAAGATCATTTAACAAAGACCAATACCTAATTTCCGATGAAAAGCTATATATTTGGAGCAATCGGATTGATATATGAAATAGTTAATTCATCGGTACACTTTACCAAATGTGTCTTCTTCAGAGTGGGCTAAGTCACCTAGGAAAAAATAAAACAGAAAAGGAGAGAATATTAATCTGATGGGAACCGGCCAGAGTAGGTAGTGTAGTGGACTGCATTCTGTTAGCGAAATAAGAATGTGGCCATGTGTCAATCCAACACTCTGTTTGTGTATAATCAGGGTGGGCACACCGAATACATTAATCAGTATTATAATGTAAGACAACAGCTGCACCTAAAGTGCATCAGAAATGTCTGTTGGCAAATTGTTCCGGGTCGTTAAGAGCCTTCAATGAAGGTTTGGGGTCGAGTAAAAGGAGTTTTTCCATTACTTGTGATAGTGCTGAAGTAGTGACCGCAGATCCAAACTTAATGCACGACCGACCTGATGATTTGGGCACGGGGAAAATTTTATTATCTTTCAGAGAATCTAGTAAAAGATTTGTGAAGAACAATGCGCTGATAATATCGGCAAGATGATGAGATAAGATATCCGCGCATTTCCTAATGATAACGACATGCACATTATCTAGGCTAAAGTGCTGGGTAGACTTGAAGGACTTGAGTAATTTTAGAAAATCGTTTGTATTAAAACAAGGAAAGTCATCATTCTTTTCATCTGTAGACTTGGAAATCGTAACATCATCCGAAAGACACGCGAAGAACTTATCAAGCGTACCTTTACGTTTAATGTTTGTACTGCGTAACTTCTACACCCAAGAAGCAGGATTAGATATATATAGAATATGCATCCGCCCCAAACTTGAATATTGTGCTCTCCTGTATGTAACCTATGGTCTGCAGACCGAAAAAATCGAAAGTGTTAAGAGATTCCTAACGAAACGCATAATGGGGTTTGACCAACAAGTGGAATATGTTGAGAGGTCTATGCGTCTGAATTTAGAACCTCTGTGGTTAAGGAGAGTGAAGTGCAACTTATTTCTACTATTCAAAGTCATAAGAAAACACTGTTATAGTAACTCATCCATAACGTGGGAAAATATTAAATCATATCAGCTGCGAAACCACAACTACCTTGTCAAGGTGGCTACCCACAGAAAATCCATTAGGGCAAACTTTTTCACCATTAAATATTGCACTCTTCGGAACCAACTACCATCTGAAATTAGATGTTGTGAAAACCCCGATGGGTTCAAACAGAGCCTAGAGAGACACACTAACATGTCCACCCTAGCTTGTCTAAAGGACCACAAATGTTGGTAAAATGGTTAATGAAAGCCGGTCCAGTCTTCAGCTTAGTCAGTTACATATAACTCGACCCTACTACTTACTCAGCGAACGTTTAACTAATTTACTGATTTTCCTTTGTGTGTAGTCTTCAGTAAGTTGTGTTAATATAGAAGCAATTATATTAGCAACCACAACTTTTGATATTTTACATATGTATATACAGTTAATAATGCTATTTTTTGTGTCTGAATGACTTTACTCAGCCAATAACCACCTTTTCTCATATACTTTTCTAAAACGAATAATCTTCATAATGTTTCGCAATATTTTTAACATTATAATCCATCCACCAAAGACCTGGTTTTTTTGTTAATGCGAAGACAATACTCCTGTATTTCCTGTTGTGTTGCACTCACTGACAGTCTAGCAGATTTTTCCAACTTTGCACAGAAATGATTGTATATAAGTGAAAAGACTGTTTTATACTACTGGGATTAACATTTATCAAGTGTATGTATAATCTCCAGCGAACATGTAAAGCATATCTTGCTACTGCCTGTAAATTGTGATTGAATTATATGGTTCTATTTCTGTAACAATTTGATGATGCCTGTAAACTGGCGTCCCTCATGTACTGTACAATGAGAATAAATTTATTTATTTATTTATTTATAAAAGTTGAAGGGTTACTTTGCGATGTCTAATGCGTACTGTATGAAACTCTCCTATGACTACTGACAAGTAGGGGACTAGGAGGATGACAGCAAAAGAGGTGCATTTATCCTTAGATAAGAGCAGGTCTGAAAGACAACAGCCCATTACGATATGGATGTTCAAAGTGTAACTATAGTTGTACTTAGACAAGTGCTTCGGTTGGTATTCAACAATAGTGCAACTGACTCCGTCACTTCTGAACTTAAAGTGTATTATTGGAAGCAGACTACTGTGAACTGACGAAAGTTGCAAAGTCATCACCTCATTTCCTCTTAGAGACACAGCAAACTTGTCTCAGTAATTTGAAACCATTCAGACAGGCCAGTTTTACGTCACAAAGGTAACACAGTTAAGGTTCTTGGGCAATTATTATCCCTGTATTACTGTGTGCATTGGAAGAGATGAGAGTCTTTAGACAGAAAATAAAATTAGACAGGGAGAAACACACTGTACTGGTAGTCTCAGGATTGGTCATTCAGTGTATTGGAATATACTTCAGAGCACGTTACCCTACAAAACAACAGAGGTTTTAGTGAACATCCAGATAAGTAATACACCTTATGCAGAACTTTAAATTAGGTATTTGCCGTTTAAAATGAGCTAGTATTTACAGCAAAGTCAAAAAATACTCCAAAAATTTTTACTATGGATCTTGAAGGCTTGAAAAAACAACCTCCCGCATTATAAAACATTATCATCAGCTTTCCAGATAATTCTTATCTGCGCGACCAACAATGGGAGTGATCACTGAAAAGGTGATTTGGCAACAGTGATCTGTTTTAATGACTAAGTCGTATTCACTCATGTATTAATGAAGCGGTGGTGATGAAAGATTGTAGTAAGGGACAACCATAGAGCAACACAACCACCACTTCTCTGATTCCTTAAAGCTGACTACATCCCAGCAGTAGGTGTACACAAATTGACCAAGGGAGACATGTATTCACGGGTCTCAGGTATGAACGAATTTTACAGACCTTAAATCATTCCCATAGATTCTATAAGAGTCTAAATATGAGAGTCTCTTAGTGAATAGAAACTTTTCCCATCTCACTTTTCACTTTTGTTGACTGGAGAAGCCTGTTTTGCTTCTGATCGTCTTAAACTATTGATCACAACAACGAAACCACCGTACTCTTTTAGGAAGGGACCTTAATAATGTGTATGGATGCTTCATTGTATATGATAGTACGTTGTCAGTGGATTTTTGAAGGTGAATTTATACATATAGCTGAAACAGTTCCTTCGCATCAGTTTTCAACCAGAAGTATGTTAACTGTGCCAATAAATTCTTCGCAGCTCGAATGTGAGCAGAATGAACGTAATCTTATGCAGAAGATTTAGGTGGTTTAATCTTATATAAAAGTTGTGACATCTGATCAGTGACAAGGTATTGTGTATATCCAAGTTAAAAGCTATCCACATAGAGATATCACAGGAAAATTGAGTGTTAGGCAATGAGGGTATGGACCAACATAATGAGTAGTGTCACAAGCTTTACTATAATCTGTAGAGGCAATAAGGAATTCGGGCCATAATATGTCTGATTTCAAAGCAGCTCATGCAGTGCTATTCCTCATTAGCCTCATTACTTGAGTTGTTTATTGCAGAAAGTGGAAACAAAATATCACTGACATGCAGACGACAGAGCAACTAAGATCGTCACCCACTAGACACCGTAACTTGCATATTTCATAACATCTACTTCCATATTCCTTAACAGTTAGTTCCCGTGGAATAACTTGTTCATGAAACGATTCGCATTAACATATGAAGCACTACGCTTTTAGAACCACTAATAGATTGAAACCTGATCTAGCCAAAATTATCAGAGTTACTGCAAGTAAATGCATGTGTTATCCCAGATCTGAATTCGCTCCTATTGAGCCTCGGTGATACCTACTTGTTACCAAACAACGCAACCGTTCTTGAAAAGGCTTCTAGTTAAAGTGCAGAAAGATCAATAAAGAGATAACGGACCCTTAGAATTAGACAGCATTAGATCTCCATATCAGTCTTTGAAGTCTGAAGAAGGAGAAGAATTGGTCTAACCACATTGCAGTCAAGAAGCAAAACCCCACTATCTGGAAACAAGCACGAAGCGATAACTTTGGTTCATAATAGCTCTCAAAATGTAAACTGAGTGTTTAAAATTTATTTTTCAAAAACTGATCCATAATTGATCACCTGACTAAGGGTTGGAAATCCCTTGTTTAAATACAGCACATTGTCTTTTAACTGACTCACCTTGAGGAGGCGGAGTATTAGATATTGTCATTGTAGCGCCTTGAAATGAATTCGTATGTCTTATGGATAGTGTAGAACAAAAATGATCCAGTTAAAGTTGTCTGACAGTGATATATGTGAGAGGCGAAAGGCACAGTTAAAGGAATGGTGTGGGTCAGAAACAGACCATGCGTCGACAAAAATGCGCGAGCCAGAGAAAATCAAATTCCCTTTATCTGTGCAGCTGCTAGCTGCATGCAGTAATAGTGATTTGGATGAATTCTCCCGTTTACTAAAGCTGGGGACAGATATCAACACTCAGAATGCAGACGGACTAACTAGCACCCATTTAGTATGTTGTGTTTTTCTGTTAAACTATTCATAAGGCTTGCATCAATGTTGACTTTGATTTTCTGAAATTTCTCATCAGCAACGGTGCAAATATAAATCTTCAAGATCATGAGGGATGGACACCTTTGCATGCAGCTGCTTCTGTGGGCTGTTGTGAACTTGCAAGGTTTGTTTTACATTGCTCACTTTTCAATGTGGTTTTTATTTGGTTCCATGATTTTAGTTGTATCCCAAACCATAATGTTGACTATAAATAGTTCGGGCATGGTAAATAATCACAGTAACAGATGTTAGTATTGATTACTCACCAGAGTTTTCAATCCCATAAGCTCCTACATGTATTTCAGTCTCCAACATTAGTTTATCTGTGCACCCCGATTCATACACTTTTGTTCAAGGGTTTATGTTATTGTTCTGCGCCACTGACTTGTTGCTGATGTTAAAACAAGCGTGTAGAAATTAGGTCTTCAATTGTTTTGCGATACATTCGGATGTAGCGACTGCCATGGAAATAACTTACTATTATTAAAGTCAAACGAAGGAATGTACTGCCTCTTAGTCACTTTGACGTTTGCTTGCCGCAGACTTAATGTACACCTGCAAGGCAGAGGTTAGTGTACTTTTCAACCATGTGAAACCATGTCAACTGAATCCATCAGTCATTTACTTCGAATAAATTTAAGCTTGAAGCAGATATTTATTTCTACCAAACTGAGCCATGTTTTTAATCTGAGCACTTGATAGTGGCCTTATCCGTGAGAGCTGCTCTTGAAAAGATTATATTTACATTCTGTGTGTTACTTAAACAATGTACAGATACCAATTGTACTAGAGTTGTCTATGCACATCGTTTCTTTATGATGTGCTTTCTCAAATATTTGCTTTTCAGAAATGTATTTATGTAAAGAGGACGTCCCTTTTTTATCGTTTGGACTGTTTGTGATTCTTGCGAACTTTGTGGTTTGATTCAATTCACTGTAATTCCTGCTGGTGTTTCTATGTCTCAGTCAATGTGGGATATCCACGTCTAAAAGATTTGATGTTATAGTCGTTATTTACCAGTGTTAGGCGAGTTGCTTGATACAACAGTTATTCTACTAGTGTGAACTGATGGACTTCTGTTAGTCTAATTTGAATAATTGAAAATATCTTGGGAATAAACTTAAATCTTTCAGGGATAATAGCTTCAACTAAGTCAACTGTTGGTTCTCGCTTGTGTTTCACGTGTTTTCAGTTTAAACAAATAAAATATTGCAAGTGTAACATATTTACCAGAGGATTCATGTATAGTTTATTGTATGCACGCATACAGGGCAGGTGGAAATAGTGAAGGTTGGATTTGACATTGCGGTGTAATGGTCCAAATCAGTTTACCTCATAAATACAAGACTTAGAAAAGAGTTAGTTATAATAAGGCATTTGGTGTTGTGATTAAAATGAAGTTGGGGTGTAAAAATCATTCGCACCGGTTGAAACAACTTGGAACCAAACCAGATGATGTTTCAGCTATAATTTTGTATAAGTTCATTTGACACAACAATGATACATTATATTAATAACTGGAACTATACCCTACTCTTGCATTAAGTCTCGACTACATATCTGTACCATATCATAGGCGGAAACTGCTTAACGTGCACTTTTCTACATGGTCTGAAATAACGGTTTCATGGTTTGTTTTTTCATCGTGTAATTACCCTTAATTGCCTTTTAATATGCATTTATTGCCACCGAAACCTGTCATTATATCTCTTCTTAGATAACGCGAAATAGGCACTTAAATAACTGAGAGTTTAAAATTTCACCAACAATTTTCTTTTCTTTCCCTAACATGCTGCATAGCGCCCTCATTTCTCGCCTGGTGACTTCGACCATTCTAAAATAGCACTATAAAGTTTGTTCAACCTTCATTAAACTCAGATCTAGAGAAATTTTGTAGAGTTTATTGATTATGTTCTTTAAGCAAATATCCAACCGAGAATCAATCTGTATAATGTTTCTATGGAAACTTCAATTAGCTAAGGACTTTGCGTTGGAATTAGTGAGCACCACGACGTAATGTGAATGTTTGGCCTACTTGTCTAGACGCTCGATTTCCTATCAGTGGGTCAACAGTTCTAACCCCGTTCCGTGCACTGAAGTGTGGACATCCATAGACAGTATAACCAGCCTTCTTCTTTGCCAACTGCATAGAATTTCAATTAGTTGTTGAGAAACACTTAGTTTCGTTTTGAGACCACAATTTAGGGTGATGTAATGGGTTATACCTTAAAATCTCTACTATAAATATTCCCCTCCTTTGTGTTCAAATGTAATCACTCGTCAGCTAAGAGTCTATTTTTACGTGCTTACTTATCTGATGATGGTGCACTGAATGCCACTTTCACGCGTTTTTCCCTTTTTCGTGTTTCGCCTAAATTAATTACTTATTACCCTAAGAGGCAGGCAGTGATTATTATTAAGCAGAACTGCACTGTGTATAAAAGATTTTTAAATATCTGTCTATTAATTTATTTAAACGATTTTTCGCTTATATAGTGAGAACAGCAGGAGACTAGAGTGTTCGAATACTAGTAGTAGTAGTCTGTCATTTGTCTTGCTTTTTATCTACTGTGGTGTTCTAGGTGACATATACATGTCATTCACCTGTTCACCCACTACCCACTGTTCACCACACTCACTATGTTGTGACAGGTGAATTAAAAGTGTAGTAATAATAATAATATGAAAATGCCTATTTTGTGATGAAAATGTGACTTCAATATTCACCCGAAGCTGCTCACTGTCAATATTAGTTTACGCTGGTTAGTTAGTAGTGGTATAATTCTGTTAAATTAAGAAAAAAAGATTGAAATTTAAATTGGTTACTTAAAAACATTGAGCTGTATCAATGAAAAATAGATTTTTTTTCAAGTATTGGTTTATAGGGATTTGGTTGATTGGTTACAGGATTTCATCATGAGCTGACATTGGTTAGAGAACCATTGGAAAACCAGCTGGGAGTACTGGACAGCTGTTTCGTCAGTCTAGTTTGGGACTCTTCATCAGTACGCACCCATCGGGGTTCGAACACTGGACTTCCTGGTTACAAGGCGAGCTCGTATACCATTAAGCCACTGGGACCCGATCCAATGGCCACTGCATGAATTCTAACTTCTACCAATTCACGATATAGCGCAACCGCTAGCCAATGTCTTCGGCGAGTATTTGTCCTCACACCCGACCTGCTGCACCCTACTGGTCACGACTTCACACTGGAACCCCAGGTAATTACCTACCTGAATAGGGTCAGTTGCCGGTGAACATCTCAGATATGATCTTTGTGGATACTTTACCAAGGTTAATGACCGTGTCAATCCCGGCAATTGACCAGATGTCGATGCAAACCGAAAGCTCGGTTAGCTTTCACTGACATAATCGAATTGTTGTTAACGGTTGAGTTTCTTGAATAGTATTGCATTGTGTTTGATTTTGTCTGTAAAGCCTTGTTATTGAAAGTGGTATATGACAGAGGGTATACAGTATTTCATTTTTGTAGAGGTCATAGCACGGTAGGATGAGTGGTAGGATCAACTTTTAGGGGTGATACACAAAGCACTAGGTTGACGAGGTTGTCTATGTTTATTATTGATTAGATTCACAGTTATTTCATGGTGTAGACTGCTTGACTGACTGGAGTCCTCAGTATGCTAAGACTCAATGGCTAGAGGCTATTGGTGGTATGGCTCAAAATCGTTCTCTATAGTGCAGATACGTTCACTTTTTGTAATCTCCCAGATCTTAAAAAAACCCTGAATGTTTCTCCATGTTACTGTTCTTTCTTTCTCCTGTACATTTCTGCTCATTATAGTTCCTTTGGAATCACTTTTCTCTACCTTTATGTGCTATACATCGTGTAAGATCAATTCGATTCCCATCCTTGAATCAAGTCAACCTGTCCCGGATCAGCCTAGCGTTGTTGCAACCCAATTATCCATACCTAACGTGTCTTTCCTCCCTTGTTTAATGAACTTTGTGTGTTTTTACATCGATCCATTTAGTCAGACCGTTGAACTCATGACCCAATCAGAGTATTTTTGTGAACTGTTATTTTGCTGACCCATGTCCTACTTTGTACTATTCTGTCGAGTTTATCTTATTTATTGATCGTCATCTGTATCAGCCTACCTGGTTAAGTAGTCAATTAAATTCTATCTTTGTGCCTATGCTCTGTCTATCTCTTAACCGCTCTCTGTTCTATGCCCTGCCTTACTTGGGTTCATTCTTCTACTGACTGCTTACCTGAACGGTCGTGTCTGATTCCGGCTAGTTCGCAATTTCGGCTTAAACGTTATTCCACTGTGTTAGCGGTACCTTGCTTTCTGTTAAGCGTTGTGCTTTGTGCTCTTGAAACTGTTAAGGTTTGTTGTATACATAATTATTGATTTGTTTATTAATAGTACCGTGGAAACAGTGACCGGCTTCTTGTTTGTTCTGGACCGGGATAGCCTTTATCTACGCGTGACTTAATTTCAAGGATGGGAATTGAATTGATCTTACACATGGAGTGTAGCAAAGCTCTGTATCGAAACTTAGTCAGACGATGAGAATCTCAGTTGACTAATTTAAATAAATTACACGTGGTTCGCATTTAGACTCGTATACCACAACACATTTTAGACTTGAGTTAGACTAAAGTAAAGAAAGTTGAGGAATACCTTCAACAATATATGTCATCAATTTATAAAATCTATGCCTCTTCTTCTGAGTCATGTAAACTAGTATGGATTAATGAAGACAATCAAAGTCAGTGGTTTCAGGCTTCAAATTACATGGTTTATGTGAATCAACTTCACACTGTTGTATCCATCGATTAATCGGCTTTCTCAATGATCGTTACGTTACCTTCCGTTCCCCATCTTTATTTTTTTTACATACATTTGTGAATTATCATTACGTGAAATAAATGCACACTTGTGCTAGGTGGTGTAATTAGTGTAGATGTATTCACACTTTACTCTTTCATTAAATGTCTTGGTATACATGCATACATAACAATTCCTCGTATCCTGTGCATAACTAGTACCAATTTCACAATTTTCACTGACTGCATTCACCTCCAGTAGTGTTAAGCACTTTTAATGTATCCTATATGCAATCGTGTCATGCTTTATACTGTCCATAAAT